GACCGCTCAGGGGAAGAGCTCCCTCGCCAGCCGCCTGCCCAGCCCAGCCCGGCAACCACTGGACCACCAGGGAGGTAATGAACCCCCCTCCCCCGCCAGCACTCCCAAAGGTGCATTATGGCGGCTGGCGAGAGAGCTCTTCCCCTGAGCGGTCCGCTCAGCTCCCTCGGGGGGGTAAATAAAAATAAATAAATAAATGTGTTAATGTGAGTGAGTGAGTGTGTGTCTGTTAATGTGTGTGTGTTTTGTTAGTGTGTGTGTGTCTGACTGTGTGAGTGTTTGTCTGACTGTGTCTGTTAGTGTGTATGTGTGTGTCTGACTGTGTGTCAGTGAGTGTGTGTTTGCCTGTGAGTGTGTGTGTGTGTCTGACTGTGTGTCTGAGTGTGTGTGTGTCTGTTAATGTGTGTGTGTGTTTGTTAGTGTGTGTGTGTGTCTGCTAGTGAGTGAGTGTGTCAGTGTGTATGTCTGACTGTGTTTGTCTGTTAGTGTGTATGTGTGTGTGTGTCTGAGTGTGTTTGCCTGTGAGTGTGTGTGTCTGTTAGTGAGTGTGAGTGTGAGTGTGTCAGTGTGTGTGTTTCTGTTAGCAAGTGTATGCGTATCTGTCAGTGAATGTATGTGTGTGTGTGTGTATTTAGAAGGTGGGTTGGGAGGGGGGGTTGGTGCGCGGGGGGGGGTGCCTGAGTTTTGTCCTGCCTAGGGCAGCACAAAACCAGGATACACCACTGGGTTCCAGGTAATAAGTGATCATTGATAAAAAATTTTACTGATTGATTTGATGATGGGTTTCCACACTGGAGATCATGAAAGAAAACCATGTGTTAATTCCCTTTAGAAGCTGTTAGTCCATGAGATGAAGTACTATGTGTTATTGGCATGCGTTTACAGATGCTAGAACTTCTCTTATATTTATTAAGTGGGTTAAAAATGTTATCCCCTGAAATTCATGTGTGTGCACCCCACTCACTTGATGATCTATTTTGGAAACCAAATACCATGAACAAACTTTTAGTATGTAGCAGCTCCGTTATTATTAGATAACAAAAAGGAATGCACTTACCTCTTGCTCCTGATGCTGGTCCTAGAGTTCCAAATTCATGATTTGGCAGACAAAACAAAGTGAACCACTCAGTCACCCACAGCAACCACCTATGCTAGACCTGTCATAGCTATATTTTCGACTAGTGGACGGCCTGGTTGTTAGCGCTGCACTTCTGTCAATGTCATACTCCACTTCTCTAATGAGATTGTGGCCTGCATGACTTGGAATGGTTTATAATGCTACCCTCCTCGTGGAATATGACTGTGCTTAATAGTTGTCATTATATATCTATTTTTTATGGTTGCAAATCTGGTGTAAACAATGTGTAACGTTGGTGACGAAGCAAAAATAAAAAACGAAATATTAAAAAAAACTAAGTAATCCACAGTTTCAATAAACCGCGTTAGTAATGCAAATCCTTCGATGTACCGGTTTATTCAAACATAATATGAGTTGGAAACTTGATAAACTTCATTCAGAATAATAGATCAAAAAGTTCCAAATGCCTGCATGAAGGGGTGAACAAAAGACAACACCTAGGTGAAACCTAGCAGGATACGGAATGCGTTTCACGTCTAAAATTGAGGCTTTATCAACACAAATAAAGAGGATCACGCATAGTGTATTAAAAATACTTGAGGAAGGAGAGAAACTAAAGAACCTTCTCAATCTGACACCCATTGAATGCCCTGCTCCATAAACACAATTATTCACCGGATGTAGCAACTGCTGTCAGGGCCAGTGTTTAAACCCTGACCGCAAAAAAGGAAACGTTCTCTGACATCTACACGTAAGCAAATATAACATAAATATAAAGCAGGATAACTGATCAGATTAATACTATTATTTATGTGCATAAACCCAAACATAGGTTAGTTATCACCAAAAGAGGTCCACATGTTAAATACATGTTAAGAATTAGCTGCAGAACAAACCAACTAAACATTATGTGATTGTGCCCATAAGGTTTTTCCCGTTTTATTTTTTATCACTTCGCATTTGTTTTATTTTTCTTAGATAATACTAATTTCCAATAATACATGTCTAGGTTATCTTGCAATTTCCCAAGAAGGTAATGTGGTGGACTCAACTGTCATGGCAAAGGCTCTCCATTCCCCTTAAAACTATCGCATTTATCGCAGCAGTCGGTGATCATAGCTCGCAGGATAGCTTTAGATTATAGCAGTGTTGTATCCTTTTCCCCCCATACATTAGTCGAGACTTAATGCTGGGAGAAAATAGAAATATATAATGTGACGGCAGATAAGAACCATTTGGCCAATCAAGTCTGCCCAGTTTTCTAAAAACTTTTATTTATCTTATAGCTATGATAGCCTTATGCCAATCCCACGCATGCTTAAACTCCTTCACTGTGTTAACCTCTACCACTTCAGCTGGAAGGCTATACCATCCATCCACTACCCTGTGAGTAAAGTAATACTTCCTAGTGTAACGGATCACCTAGCACCCCGACTGGGTACCTCTGTTGAAGGATGCTCCTAGCGCTTCCTGAGGACTCAAAGCACTCTGGCAGACACCACAATCACCGAACCGGAGAAACAAATAAATTCTCCCAAGCATATGAATGCTGTAGACAGTTGAATAGGAACCATACGAATAGGTTTACTCTCCTAGCAGTCAAACTGGAACAGCATACAATAAATCCTTCCCCCAATAATGAGACAACACTTCACTTTGAGGGTTAAAACAGGAACTCCCTGTACTGGCACATACAGCCTCTTTTATTCACAATCCACAAAACATAGTACTGCCCACAGGGTTTTGCAGAACCACCAATAAACACATTACAACACATACAATGCAAGTACAGCAGCCAATCAGACACAATGGGAAAATAGAAACACACCCAGCATATTCCTCCCTTCTGCTTAGGAGATAATTGAGTCAATTACTGTATCTACTCAATTATCTCCAAGCTGAAAAGTTACTTTTTGTACATTTTTATAACTTTGTGAGTTAACATCGTACATACATAAAACTTATATTATTTTAACCAGTATAACTTGGGGACAAACATATCCAAAATTCACTTGAATAGGTTCAGGGGTTTAACGGTTAGGTCGAAGTCCTTTGTTTTCACTTGCAAGCATGATTTTTCCTGGCAAACCAGTTCCCACTGGTTTGGCAGTGTCCCTGGGATAACACCCTGCTGGAGAACAATGGATCCGGGGGAGAGAAAGAGGAAGTGTCCAAAAAGTTTCAGTATGTCCATACCCTGTTTTTAAAAGGCCAGCACAGTACAATAAAAGTCAATTCACTGTGCTTAAAGGGCCAGTAGCCGCACAATAAAATACAATATGCCCAAATATTGCATTCAAAAGTACAACTTTACCAGGGGCCATAGTCAGCAGGTAGGAGGCGGGCAGCCAGGCCTCTCCAATGCCAGGTGGCGAGGCGGGTTCCGCCACATTTCTCCCCTGTCCCATTGAGACTATCCAGACTCCAGACCTTCACTCGGTCTGGGGCTCTGATAGTCGGTCGGCCTTTCTCACCCAGTGTAGCTGTCCCAGTGTTCTCCTGCCACATGTGTCCAGTTGGAAATCCATAGTCTGGTGGAAAGGTAACCAGGGTGCTCTCTCTCCTGGTTGGACAAAGCTGTTGCTGGGGAGAAGGGGTAACAGGCTCCTCTCCCTGCGACGACCTCTCTTGTAGTAGGGAAAAACAAACTGCCTTCTCTTCCAATACATTGTCCTGTTGCTGGGGGCCAGGACAGACTGTCCATATCTCCAGTGGTGCAGGTGCAGAGACTACGGTCCCTTCTGCACTGTTGTGGGGCTTACTGTCTCCCCTTGGTGGGCTAGGCTGCCGCTGGGGAGGGGAAATGAGACTCTCTCCACCCGGTAAAATATTCTGCCGCTGGGGAGCAGGGCTCACCGTCCGTACACCCTGTAGATTGGGCGCAGAGACCACGGTCCCATTTGCGCTGGTGAGGGGCTTAGTGTCTCCCCTTGGTGGTTTAGGCTGCCGCTGGGGAGGGGGAACGACACTCTCCCCTCCCGGTAAAATATTCTGCTGCTGGGGAGCAGGACTGATCCTCCGTACTCCCTGTAGCTTGGGCGCAGAGACCACGGTCCCATCTGCGCTGGTGAGGGGTTTAGTGTCTCCCCTTGGTGGGCTATGCTTCTGCTGTGGAGAGGGGGTACCAAGCTCCTCTCCCTGAACCATAGACTGCTGCTGGGGAGAGGGGGTAACAAGCTCCTCTCCCTGATGCTCTCTCTCTTTCGCCCTCTGGAATTCTCGGTCCAGCCTTGTGTTTCGCTCGGCCATGACCTGGTTCCAGATCACCCGGCGTGTCTCCATGGGTACATCATCCCCATACTGGGCCACTCGCTGCCTTATTTCGGCCATCCAATTTTCTCCAGACCCTTCCATACTGGTCTGCTGGTGAAGAGGGGGACCAGCTGTCTCTCCTTTCAATATATTGTCCTGCTGCTGGGGAGGAAGGATGGCACCTTCAGCTCCCTGTAACACACTCTGTCGCTGGGGAGGAAGGACGGCACCTTCCGCTCCCTGTAACACACACTGCCGCTGGGGAGCAAGGACAGCACCTTCAGCCCCCTGTAACACACACTGCCACTGGGGAGCAAGGACAGCACCTTCAGCTCCCTGTGATACATACTGCCGCTGGAGATCTGGGCCGACCGCCCAGCATCCCTGTAGGGCCGGTAGAGAGACCGCCGTCCCATCTCTACCTGCCATCTGTGGGTCTTCCCAGGACCAGTCTGTGAGGTCCCTCAACATTTGCGAGTAAGGACCACCTGCTTCCGCACCTGGCAACTCCGGCTGCTGCTGGGGATCTGGGTCGGTCCCATCTCCACCTGCCTGTTGTGGAGTCTATGAGGACCCCTACTTCGGGTTCCTGCGGCCGCCTCAGGGGGAGAAGGCTAGCCTCCTCGGATGCAGCCTCTACTCGGCTGCTGTAACACTCCTTCCGCTGAGCATACTCTCTCTCTTTCGCCAGCCGGAATTCTCGGGCCAGCCTTGTGTTTCGCTCGGCCGTGACCTGGTTCCAGATCACCCGGCGTACCTCCATGGGTAAATAATCCCCATACTGGGCCACTCGCTGCCTCACCTCGGCCATCCAATCATCGCCAGAACCTTCCATACTTGTCTGCTCCAAGTCGCTGGATACCTCTGCTCCCAGGGGCGCTGCACGTGTGCTAGCGTTGCCCTCAATTTGTAACTCCACGAACGGTGTCTCTGAGCTGCTTTACCTCGCAGTAGGACGCCATCCCACCGCTGCCACCAATGTAACGGATCACCTAGCACCCCGACTGGGTACCTCTGTTGAAGGATGCTCCTAGCGCTTCCTGAGGAGTCAAAGCACTCTGGCAGACACCACAATCACCGAACCGGAGAAACAAATAAATTCTCCCAAGCATATGAATGCTGTAGACAGTTGAATAGGAACCATACGAATAGGTTTACTCTCCTAGCAGTCAAACTGGAACAGCATACAATAAATCCTTCCCCCAATAATGAGACGACACTTCACTTTGAGGGTTAAAACAGGAACTCCCTGTACTGGCACATACAGCCTCTTTTATTCACAATCCACAAAACATAGTACTGCCCACAGGGTTTTGCAGAACCACCAATAAACACATTACAACACATACAATGCAAGTACAGCAGCCAATCAGACACAATGGGAAAATAGAAACACACCCAGCATATTCCTCCCCTCTGCTTAGGAGATAATTGAGTCAATTACTGTATATACTCAATTATCTCCAAGCTGAAAAGTTACTTTTTGTACATTTTTATAACTTTGTGAGTTAACATCGTACATTCATAAAACTTATATTATTTTAACCAGTATAACTTGGGGACAAACATATCCAAAATTCACTTGAATAGGTTCAGGGGTTTAACGGTTAGGTCGAAGTCCTTTGTTTTCACTTGCAAGCATGATTTTTCCTGGCAAACCAGTTCCCACTGGTTTGGCAGTGTCCCTGGGACAACACCCTGCTGGAGAACAATGGATCCGGGGGAGAGGAAGAGGAAGTGTCCAAAAAGTTTCAGTATGTCCATACCCTGTTTTTAAAAGGCCAGCACAGTACAATAAAAGTCAATTCACTGTGCTTAAAGGGCCAGTAGCCGCACAATAAAATACAATATGCCCAAATATTGCATTCAAAAGTACAACTTTACCAGGGGCCATAGTCAGCAGGTAGGAGGCGGGCAGCCAGGCCTCTCCAATGCCAGGTGGCGAGGCGGGTTCCGCCACAACTAGTATTATTTTTAAACCTTTGCCTCTCTAATTTAAGACTATGTCCTCTTCTTGTAGTAGTTTGTCTTCTTTTAAATATAGTCTCCTCCTTTACTGTGTTGATTCCCTTTATGTAAGAACCACTGTAGACACCCAGACCACTTCAGCTCAATGAAGTGGTCTGGGTGCCAGGTCTCTCTAGTTTTAACCCTACAGCTGAAAACATAGCAGTTTTGGAGAAACTCACTGACAGCCGCTAGAGGCGCTTCCGCAATTCTCACTGTGAAAATCACGGTGAGAAGACGCTGGACGTCCATAGGACGTCCTTAGGTAATGCTTTCCTAAGGGCGGTTTGAATGCGCGCACGGCTCTTGCTGCGCATGCGCATTCGGATCTGACGTCGGCAGGAGGAGGAGAAGTCACCAGCACCGAGGTAGCCCGCGCTGGAGAAAGGTTAGTGGCTGAAGAGGTTTTAACCCCTTCAGCCCAGCGGGAGGGGATCCCTGAGGGTGGGGGGGACCTAATGACCCTATAGTGCCAGGTAAACGAGTTTGTTTTCCTGGCACTATAGTGGTCCTTTAAATGTTTCTATCGTATCCCCCCGTCTTGTCTTTCTTCCAAACTATGCATGTTAAGATCCTTTAACATTTCCTTGTAAGTTTTATCCTGTAATCCATAAACCAGTTCAGTAGCCCTTCTCTGAACTCTCTCCAAAGTATCAATATCCTCCAAGTGAGGTCTCACCAGTGTTCTGTATAATGGCATGAGCACTTCCCTATTTCTACTGCTAATACCTCTCCCTATACAACCAAGCATTCTGCTAGCATTTCCTGCTGCTCTATTACATTGTCTGCCTACCTTTAAGTCATCTGAAATAATTACCCCTAAATCCATTTCCTCAAATGTTGAGGTTAGGACTCTGTCAGGGTATTTATATCGGCAGACATTTTGTGCTATGATAGAAATTAAAAGTGTATATTCTGAGTCACTCTGAACAGACCAGACTCTATTTTGTTATTTTCAAGTTAACAAAGAGACACAAGATTTCTATCTGTAAAACTAACCACGTTCCCAGAACTAAAGGAATGCATAGTATATACAAACCAAGTGATAAGGAGAACGGGGGTTGGATAGACTGTCTAAATGCTAATGGAATAGATCAATTCTAAACCCAGACATTGGTGACAGAGAAGATTAAATAATAAAATTTTACTTTCTATATGTACAAGATCCCATTGTAAGTTACGGGTCAAAACTCAGAATTTGCCAGACACATAGTCTGGACAAAACTTAAAGAAACTGTTTGAAGTGACAGCAAATCTGTAAGTTATAGCAAACGTAAAGATAACGCAAAATGACGTCAAAATAGCCACCAAGAAAAGTTAACTCTTTCCTGGATAGGTATGTTTAGTGGGACAAGACTGCCCTCTATAGATCAAATAACTAAATTGCGATCCCTAGGTGAGCACACCTCTAGTGCTTCTATTGGGTCATCAACTGATGACGTACAGAGAGTCTGGCCCTTTAAAAGTTAGGACAAAGGGTAGAAAGAAGGGAGAGGTAGACGAGGATAGGAGGGTATGCAAAGAAAGCAAAGAAGTGAACACTCGGGAGCAATGACACTCTAGGACACTCAGAAATTCCTACACACCTCCATGCAGAGAGACATCCAAATAAGTTCCTGAGACTATCTACCAATCGGATGAAATATCTACTCAACTGGTAATTATACTGGTTTCATTTAATTAATTAAATTAATTAAAATTTACTAATAGCATGATATATGACTGGATAAATCACGGTCAGATTTCCATATTAAGAAATCTTAGTTAACTAAAGAATATATAGTTATAAACATTCCATTCTGCAGGTGGAATTAAGAATAATTATATATTAATGTGATAGTATCACATGTTAGCATACCGCTGTTTTTATCCAGGTGTATTGATTTGCTCTAAAATAAGATAAGATATCTTTTTAGGTGAATTAAAATTCTGTTTTTATAAAATATGGTAGATTCTCTTATTGGATGGTTCCAGGAAATGACTAATGAACTGGTTTAAATGTTATTTTATTTAAAATTACATACGAATAGATCTTAATTACCTAGGAGATCTAGCCAGCATTGAAAGGGTTATTCTAACTGTTAGTCAGGGTTTTATGGCCCTTCGCTGTGAAAAGCTTCGCTTTCTCTCTGTGAAAGATAGTCATAAATCGTAACTCTTGACAGAAAATGCTGTTTAGCCATTGAAACGTGTATAGCCATTCCTTTGTATTGCATACCATTTTATACTGGATATTCATTGATTATAGTCACGCATGTTACATATTATTATTATTAATTAATTTGTTCTTATAAAATAAAATCTATTTTTATAACATTGTGATTTATTTATATGAAATACTTTTCACTTACGATAACGATCTTTGGGATCTGAGAATTGAATTAGTGGGCAATTCTCACTGTTTACTATTATTATCCCATAAATATCCCCACAACTCTATCAAATATTCTATACTTGACCATTGAGTTTTTACGTCCAAGATGGATTATCTTATTTTATTGTCACCAACACAGTAATTTATACAGCATGGGGCCCTATTTAAGACAGTGATCCTGCCCTGGTGCCTCTGGGAGAAAATTGTGTGATCTCACGCTAAACTAATTATCTCTCAGACAGATTTTGTGTTGTAACATAGGTTACAACACATAATATTGGCAACAACATAACAAAACCCCATATATTATCCATATATTATGCCTTCCCAGATAGCTCTGATCTGAGCACTCAAGTTGACAAAATAGGATCCATGCAGAATTGGGGAATCGCCACCGGGGTAAAGATTTGGCTAGTCAAATATCTGGAGCTCCTGTGGACTGAAAAAGGGGCACTCCCCCAGGTTCTGCGGAGCAACGGTTAATAAGAATTCATAGCAGTGGCGGATCCGGGGGGGGGGGCAACGGGGCAATTGCCCCCCCTGAGAAATCCGACGGTCTCCCTCTCCCCTGCCAGCACATGCAGGCGCTAGCCCTGCAATGTGCCTGCAGACCGGTGGGGAGATCAGAGATCTCCCTCCCCGGTCCGCAGGCACTGTGTTGACAGCCGGCAGGGGAGGGAGAGGGAGGACCTGGGAGCTCAGCCTGCAGCTCCTCCGGGTCCTCCTCTCGCGAGATTTGGAGCGTTGCCGAGGTTACCACGGCAACGCTCCAAATCACGCGAGAGTGAACTCTAGCCCTGGAATGTGGGCTAGAGTTCACTCCAACCACTAGGACCACCAATGAATCCCCCACCGGACCACCAGGGAAATGTCCCCCCTCCTCCCCAGTAAAGGTAAGAAGGGAGGGGGGACATAGAATATTTATTTATTTTAATTAAATTAAAAAAAATATGTTATAAAAAAAAAAGCCACCCTACCCCTGATCACACACACATACATTGCCCCCAATACACACAAACTGCCCCCCCATTCACACAAACTGCCCCCATTCACACAAATTGCCCCCCATACACACAAACTGCCCCTATACACACAAACTGCCCTCATACACACACACTGCCCTCATACACACACACACTGCCCCCATACACACACATACTGCCCCCCATACACACACACACACACTGCCCCCATACACACACACACTGCCCCATACACACACACACTGCCCCCATACACACACACACACTGCCCCCATACACACACAACTGCCCCATACACACACACACCACCCCCCATACACACACAAACTGCCCTCCATACACACACAAACTGCCCAGCCATACACACAAACTGCCCCCATACACACTGCCCCCATACACACACACTGCTCCCCCATACACACACTGCTCCCCATACACACATACTGCCCCCCCATACACACAAACTGCCCCACATACACACATACTGCCCCACATACACACACACACT